TTGAGATATCTGGGAGGAAGGCGGCATGAAAATGAAAACTAAAAATTAAAAAATTGGGGGCATCTTTGGCCCCCTCATCCCATCCCATCCTCTCATCCTCCAGTTGGTTGCCCTTGGCTGGATTGCAGGGTCTCTTTTAGATGGGCAAGGCTGCCAGTCAGAGAGGGAGTTAATATGTATAGAGATTTTGTAACACCTTTGAGGGTTGTAACATGAGTTTGCTTTAGTCTACTTCTTCAGATGCTTATGATGGATTAAAAGCCAGGGACAGACAGGAGTGCAGGAGTTTAACTGAAGATAACTGAGAAGGCATGTTGGTTACTGTAGACCCAGTCAACAGGAGTAGAACCCATGAGCTTTTATTTTATTTTTAATATATATATATATATACACACACACACATTTTATACATACACACACACATTAATTAGATATATTTATCTACAGTAACCATATATATATATATATATATATATATATAACTTAATTTGATTTAATTTTTATTTTGCAAACTATGTATCATGTAGAGCTCATGGGCTCTGCTCCTGCTGACTGGGTCTATAGTAACCAACATGCCTTTTCAGTTATCTTCAGTTAAGCTCCTGCACCTTTTCTGTCCCTGGCTTTCAATCCACCATAAGCATCTGAAGAAATAGTCTAAAGTCCATGAAAGCTCATGCTACAAACTTCTTTTTTCCCCCTTCAGTTAGGGCCTTTGCAGACTGCCAGAAATAGTGCAAATTGAGTCCACTTTTAGGGTTAGGGTTAGTGCTAGGGAATCATGGGGATTGTTTTTTTCTGAGACATTGAGCCTTCTCTGTCAGAGAGCTCTGGTGCCACAATAAAATACAGTTCCCATGATTCCCTAATCCTTAAAGTGGACTCAATTTGCACTATTTCTGGCACTCTGCAAAGGCCCTTTGTCTCAAGGGTGCTACAAAATCTCTCTACATATTAATTATACAGACTGACACAGCTATATCATTAAAGTCAGAGAAGGAGAGAGCCAGGGAGTTGGGCATCACCCCATGCCATCCCAGTGCTGCCTCCTGACCCTCTTTCTTCTTTTCCAGGGGACTCCAGAGGACCATGGCCTTAGCGGGGATGCGGTGCCTGGTGACCGGGGCTGGGGGCTTCCTGGGTCAAAGGATCGTCTGCCAGATGCTGGAGGAAGAAGAAGGACCAGCTGAGGTCCGAGCCTTGGACAGAGCCATCAGCCTAGAGACCCGGAGGGCTTTGGCAAGTAAGTGGATCCTGAGGGGAGCTGGGACTCTGCTTCTTGCCAGGAGTCTCTCCTTTTCTGGGACAAGGGCCTCCTTTCCACAGAGCTGGAGCGGACTCAGACCCAGGGGGACCAGCCATGTCCTCCTTTTTCAGGACACATCCTCCATTCCAACCTTCTATCCAGGAGGAACTCCAAAAGCTCCTCATTCAGGGGGACCAGCCATGTCCTCCTTTTCCTCCATTCTAACCTTCTGTCCAGGAGGAACCCCAAAAGGTTTGCCATTTGGAGCATGATTTAAGAAGCAGGGATTTATATTTCTAGGAATGTTTTTGAGCTTTGCTTTGGTCATTTCCCTTGATGGCCCTACATTTTGCAGTCCCTTGTCCTCCTTTGCTGTTATGACATGTGGACACCCTGAGTCATTTGCAACTTATGGGAACCCTAAGACAACCCTATCACGGGGTTTTCTTGGCAAGATTTGATCAGAGGAGGTTTGCCATTGCCTTTCCCTGAGGCTGAGTGTGACTTACCCAAGGTCACCCAGTGGGCTTTATGGCAAAGCTGGGAATCAAACCCTAGTCTCCAGAGTCTTAGTCCAACACTTAAACCACTGTACCACGCTGGCTCTCAGTTATCTGGCTAGACATTTACAATATTGCTGTAGCCAATTCTGCTCAGGGTGACCAGATATCCTAACTGCAGAGGAGGACGAGGCATTTCAAAATGCAGAACAAGGAAGAAAAATGTTGGGCATTACAAAATAAAAGTTGAAACATTCACAGAAGTGTCAATTCATGCTCCAAATGGAGGACATTTTGGAATTCCTCCTGGCCAGAAGGCTGAAATGTAGGACATGTCCTGGAAAAGGAGGATGTGTCTGGTCACCTTGGTTCTGCTTCCAATGAGGGTCCCTGGTATATGTACATATGACAGAATGCCTAGCGTGATTCCCATGTACCAGGGGACCCTTTTTATGTCTTCTTCTCAATGCACCACCATTATGGAGACATTAACAGAGAGAAAGTCGATAGTAAGGACCTCTAGTGGTCTGTAAGGAGCTGGGCTCAAATGAAAGGTAACAAGAAGTGAAAATCAGGGGCACAGCTTGCAAGGGAAATAAATAAGAGTTTAAAAGTGATGTTCAGGCCAGGGCAGCCCAAGGAGGCCATTCTACGGCACATGCAGGTCATTGGCTAAAATGCGATGGGCACCTCTTCTGCTTTGCACATGAAAGAGTGTAAAGCATCATATCTGGCAATCCTATACATTGCTGCTTAGAGAAGAAGCTGTTAGGATTGTACTGTTGATGGACATTATTAATGGAGGATTAAAAAAGGAGACCTGTTTTAAAACCAAACCAAACCAGAATCTGTAGCCTAGCCACTGCAGCACCTTTAATCTGAAACAGCAGCATCTTGTTGTAACATGAATGTGTTCACATGCAGCTCCTCTCAAGCTTCCCTGAGTCCACACTTGGACATGGGGAGCCCACCCTGTAATTTACACTCTAACATGCACTTCCCCTAAAATGTACTTGTTTGCCTTCCATATGCTAAAAACAAAGCAAAATGCATTACAGTCAGCCCTCCGTATCCACGGATTTTTAATCCATGGAGTCAAACATTCACAGTTTGAAAATATTTTTAAAAATGTAAAAATTCCAACAAGCAAATCTTGATTTTGCCATTTTATTTAAGGGACACCATTTTACCAGTGGTATCCTACACCGGGGTGTAACCCAATGTGGGGGTATGTATGTGGGATTTTGGGGTTGAGGGTTCAGGGGGCAGGGCCAAAAGGGCACACCTTCACCTCCCTGCCAGTCACAGCTTTATATAAGAGTAAACCCATGACAGGCAGGGAGCAAAGGTTGCCCTGGACCTCTCCATGGTGCGTGGCAGGGAAGTGTGTGGGGGCTCTCACTCCTGTTCTGGGGTGTCACCCAGTGTGGCCTGAACCCGCCACATCCCCCTAGTGAAGCCACTGCATTTTACTGCGTCTGGAAAGCATGCCTTATGAGGAAAGGCTTAGAGAGCTGGGAATGTTTAGCCTGGAAAAGAGACAATTAAGAGGTGACATGATCTTTAAGTATTTGAAGGGGTGTCATATTGAGGATGGAACAAGCTTGTTTTCTACTGCTCCAGAGAACAGGACCCGGAACGATGGGTGCAAGCTACAGGAAAAGAGATTCCACCTAAACTTTAGGAAGAACTTCCTAACAGTAAGAGCTGTTTGACAGTGGAACACACTCCCTTGGAGAGTGTGGAGTCTCCTTCTTTGGTGGTTTTTAAACAGAGGCTGGATAGCCATTTGTTGGGGGTGCTTTGACTGTGTATTCCTGCATAGCAGAATGGGGTCGACTGGATGGCCCTTGCGGTCTCTTCCAACTCTATGATTCTATGATTCTATACATGAGCATTGTATTTAATGGCACTTGAGCATCCGCAGATTTGTTAGACATGGGGGGTTCCGGAATGAAACCCCAGCGGATACCAAGGGCTCACTATATATCCTGCAATCTGTCATCTAAAGTTCAGAATGACCCTCACCAGCATTTAGGAATGAGTGGAGGAGGGGGGTCCTCTTGTGGCAACTGTTCATATTTCTGTACAAAGGCAGCACTTCATTGGCGAAGTTTACCCAGTCCTTGAACTCCCAGTCAGCCTGTGTTAATGAATGCCACACAGTCACATCTAAATGGATATCTTCAGGAAATAGAGAGAAAGCCTCCAGGTAGGACCTAGTGTAGAGCTAGTGTGGCATAGCTGTTTGTTGGTTGGACCATGACTCTGAAGACCAGGGTTCGATTCCCAGCTCGAGCATAAAAGCTCTCTGGGTGATCTTGGGCAAATCACACTCTCTCAGCCTCAGGGGAAGGGAATAGCAAACCTCATCTGACCAAATCTTGTCAAGAAAACCTCATGATAGGGCCACCCTAGAGTCACCAGAAGTCAGAAAGGACTTGAAGGAACACAACAACAAATTGCAAGCACACAGTAAAGCAGCCAGCAGGCATCAGAACAGTTTGCGACATCACAAACATTTTCATGCATTTGGAATCACTGATGTAGGATCCAGCTTTTTAAAGTGAGAGATTTGCTCTCTCTCGTTTTGTTCATTTGGCACAGAATGTGATGTGAAACAATTGTAAGGACTGTAAGTCCTATCAGTGAAATGTTTATTTTCTTCAAATCACAAGTGAAAGCTTAATATGGGCAATGGCAGTTAAATTTCCTGCAGTGACTATAAAGAGTGCATCCTTCATCATGCAGGCACCTCTTCACCCATGAATGGAGTGATGGTCTCTGGGCTCTAAAGAACCCCCTTCCTCTGATTTCCTGCTCTTCCTTTAGTAGACACACACCTAGGAGTGTGTAGGTAGGACAGTGAAGCATGTGCAGGATGTCTGTGGCTGCCTCTTTCAGGGCCCCTTCCCACCTGCAAACTTGCCTGACATGTCTGTTTTACATTAGACTGCATGAAAATTACTTTTCAGGGCCATAGGGGAGAAAGAGGGAGATTTTGCATTAAAGCAAAGCAAAGCAGCTTCATTTATATACTGCTTCATACCGCACTATGGAGTGTTTAAGCAGTTTACAACTGTAAGCTCATTGCCCCCCAACAGTTGGGTACTCATTTTAGCGACCCCGGAAGGATGCAGGCCTGAGTCAAGCCTGAGCCCTGGCTGCTATTGAACTCGCAACCTTGTGGTTTATGAGTGAGTGGCTGCAGTACAGGCATTTAACCACTGCGCCACCAGGGCTCCTGGTCACATTAAGTGACCAGCATATGCACCAGTACATTCAGCTCACCTTTCTGATATAGTGATTAAAAGAGAGCCAAAGAAATACACTGGACAGGCATGTTCTGCATGAGAATACAGGCATAATTCTTGGGCATCATTTATTTAACAGAAAATTTGGTATCAGAGGCAGAAATAACATGGAAAAATGTGAAGAAAAAAAGAAGAGCAATTCAGCATGTTTCAGCAAACCTTTTTTTTTTTTTAATCAAATACTAACAATATGTACAGGTGAGATGAAACGACCATATTGGATAAGTAAGCAAATGCATTTTGAACCTTCCAGAAACTACCCAAAATAAACCCAGTGATGATTTTCTTCCACCAGCATCGGATCATCTTGTGATTTTTATTTTGGTGGGGAAACCTACAGATCTATGGCTTTTTAACATCCTGGGGAGAGTTGATGAGGTAGTTCATTCCTTTTCTCTCTGTTTTGCTGTTCACACATGCTCTATAAGGGAATCTGGAGGCAGGAGCTGTTAACCTTGCCAGTTGCAGGCAGGCACACACAGCTACATTAGGATGAGCCATCTCAACTTTTCCCCAGCCAAGCTCTTAATTAAATGCTTTACTGCAGACCTGCTGCAGCAGCCTGACATTGAATGACTGTGGGCCTTTGCAGACTGCTAGAAATAGTGCAAAGGGTTAGGGTTAGGGAATCATGGGGACTGTATTTTATTGTGGCACCAGAGCTCTCTGACAGAGAAGGCTCAATGTCTCAGAAAAAAAAACACCAATTCCCATGATTCCTTAGCACTAACCCTAACCTTTTAAGTGGACTCAATTTGTACTATTTCTGGCAGTCTGCAAAGGCCTTGTGTTTCGCTACCACTCCTGTATCATCTTCCTAAAGCCAATGCTTCTAAAAAGCTTCCAGCTAAAGAGGGAACAAGATGGGTTGGGCAGCCATAAAATGACTTTGTAAAGAGGCGCTTCTTTGTCAGAGGCCTTGTTAACTGAGGTATACCTGTACATTTAAACAGCATTTAAAATGAAAATATTATGCTTTACTTTCAGTTACTTTTCCTTCCAGCCAATGGGGTGGTCCCTAGCCTCCTGTTACTAAATCTGTATTGCTAGTTGATAAAAACTGCATATTGTCCATTTTTCTGCTGTAACTAACTTCCTACTGTCAGGTCCTAATTGTGAAAATGTGCTTAAGACACTTTTAAAGTGAAGACAGATTGGTCCCCATGAAGCACAGAATGAGTCTGAAGACCCACTGAAACCATGGAGTTAAATATGTTGAGCTCAAGTTGGACTGTAGCCTGGAACTAAACAGCTGCTGTTGTATTTGGCCTACTTTGTAATGTAGATTATCTTGCACACAGCAACAGCTGTGTTGCTGTATGTGGTAACCTTGGCTGCTTGCCCTTTACTAAATTAATGGTGCCCAATAGCTGTTCATCATGTTCCATTTCTTCCAGAAGTGAAGACTAACACTCTCCTGACAATCATTGAAGGGGACATTCGGGATGCAGCATCTCTTCAGACAGCTGTCCAAGGCATCACCCTTGTCATCCACACAGCTTGCATCATTGACACCTTAGGCTTTATCGACAAACACATTCTCTGGGATGTCAACGTCCGAGGTAAGGCTTTGAGGCAAATTCATGGTGGACACAGTTGTCAACAGGCTTATGCAAGAGGTTTTAGATTATTTCTAGCCACTACAGAATCACAACAGCAACCTTTGTATTGAAAGGGTGGGGGTTCTCAAAAGCATAATAAATTTCCAAAACTAAACACTGGATAAATTGGGGATAATTTGACTTAATCTGAGTTGGGCTCAGCCCTAGAAACTCTGGCGCAATCATGGAGAAAAAACAGTCTTCTGTGTAGTCTTTCCTTCATCTCTGAATAGCTGCAGTTTGTCCTCAAAAAGATAGGAAGCTGATTTGCATACCATCAGCATCTTATCTTACCAGAAGTGAACCCACGAGACAAAGAGATCTGGTGCCACACAATTAAAGTCCAACAGCTTTTCCTGGTGGGACATAATGTGCCAGTTGCTACAGCATGTACAATCCTCGTACTTCCACTTCTGCTCTCATCCCACCTACCTGCTTCAGTTGGTCCTTCACTATGATGAATCCCACTTTCCCACAGTGCTGTAAGAAGGAACATCTATAGCAGGGATGTAGAAGATTTGTGCCTCTCCTCTTCTTGCCGTTGATGCTGCTTTCCATCTCAATCCTCTCTCCCATTCGTTTCACACCAATTTCATACAGATCATTCTTTCCTTAATGCTGCTACTTTTTAATCTTTTGTTGTTTATTTTATTATTTTATTCTAAGGCATTTATTTATCTTATCTCAACCCACCAGGGTGACCAGTCCTTCAAAAATACAATCATCCCTCTGGATTTGTGGGGGATCTGTTCCGGGACCCCAGACGAATTTGAAATTTTGTGAATATTCAGGTTCCTCCCTTCCCTCCATCTTTTCCACCCCACCCTACCCTAGGTTGGCCTCAGGGTTTGGGAGGGGGCCTTCCCTCAGTGTGGTGGGAGTGAGGCAAGGTGGGGGGAGCACCAATGCTTGTACATAGTGTCAGCTTTTATGGTGAAAGGAAAAGAAAGTGTGTAGCTGCAATAGGGTATTGATTTCTGCCATCCCTGTGCCAAATATCAACAAACAGAAAGTTGGCCTGCCTTCCCAAGTCAGCCCACCTACCTCCAGGTTGGTTTGGGGACCACCCAGGCTAGCTCAGAGGATCCTGTTAGACCTTTCCCAGGTTGGCCCATGAGGCTCCTCTGGTGAGGCTGGAAGTCCCAGCTCAGTCATGGGGAGGTGGGAGCCAGTCACATCTCCAAGACAGCTCAATTCACTCCCAAGTCAGCCCAAGGGATCCAAGGGAGCCTTCCCCTCACATTTGGCATGTCATGGACTTAACATGCCATGGAAATGTGAGGAGCCACTGACTATTCATTCAGCTCTTTTTCAGTTTGTATACCACACTCTGTGCCACCTGAGGGGCACCGGGAACTGACTGTGACATAGCAAAAACAATGAAATCACAACAGAACAGCTTTAAAATGCTAACAATTTCAATTAAAATAGTAGGATATCAACAGTCCCAAAAGAATGTTGGGGAAATAATTGTTGACTAAGAAATTAAGCAAGCTTTTTCTTTTTTCTGTGCCCAGGAAAGCTGTGACTACTGCATGTCTGCAGGTACAGCTGCTTGTCAAGGAATACAAATAGAATCAATAAAAAGGTGGCAATGCTAGATACATTAGATGGAGACAACAGGGGAGGAGTAGCCTTCTTCAGTAGCCACAATAGAGAAGGGAAGAGGTGGGCTGAATCAGAAGCAAAAACCAAGTTTTGCAAATCTTTTGTTGTCCTAACAAAGCCCCCAACAACTATTTGATCAGACAAGTCACAATAGAAGACATTAAGACATCAGTGGGAAAATGAAGTGTGCTTTATATGTTGAAAGGAAACAGCCATTAAGATTTTGGGGTTTAAGCCCTGCTCAAATTAAGTCCCAGGTTAAGAACCAGCAATACTGAGCAGCTTTGAGAGAAATCAGGGAGAGGCTACAGAGATTTCAGCCTACAAACATGGAACATCTGCCTCCTCAGCTACTTCAGGCTGTTCAGATTTTGTAGCCAGAGTGAATCCTACCACAAGCCAACTTGGTAGAATGTGGTCACCATTAAAATTGGCAGAGTATTTGCACCTATACATGCATCTGCCTGCCTGTCTGCCTACCTGCCTTTGTATGGGTGTGTATGTGGGTATTTGCATTTCTCATCTCTGGCAGCAGAGCCAGTGAGTCACCTCCTATTCTTAACCTGTTAATTTATTTCTTTTTGTGAAGGTACACAGCTGCTGCTTGAGAGTTGCCTCCGCAACAATGTCCCTTATTTTATCTACACAAGCAGCATTGAAGTGACAGGTCCAAACAGCAGAGGTGATCCCATCTATGATGGTGATGAAGAGACAGTTTATCAGAGCACTCAAAGCTTTCCCTATGCTGAAACCAAGAAGGAGGCAGAGAAGTCTGTGC